CTGCTTTTGGAAGTGAGGCGCCAGCCATGGCTACAGAAGGTACAGATACAAGCTTCAATTGTCAATTGATTGAAATAGGTATTTTTTGTTATGATATCAGTGTTTGGAAACAAAAACAGTCAGCTTCCTCGTGACGCCCAGATATGGTTTCAATTCCGCACTCTTCCTTTTCATGCTCCACCTGGCGTTCGACATTGACTATTTCTACATAGTGTGCAAAGTACGGAGTAGTTCATTTGCTTCGCCCGTTCTTTCGATTTCCCCTCACATCTTCTCAGATGTCGCCATCAGCGATCCTAGCGGGAATGGTTAGCGAAGGAAGGAGAAAAAAGTGGATTGTAAGAGGCACAAACTTACCGATAAATGTGGTGACAAGTCTGGAGCGGACCTGGCAGATATCCTCAGGGACCAACCATATCGTGGCCCCCATCTTTCTGGCAATACTGATGGCAAGCTTTGCGTTAGCATAGCACTCCTCGTCTGTTCGTCCGGGGGTGACAAGGTCATAGTCGACATAGCTGCTCTTCATTCCGTTGAGGATATCGAGCAGGAAGATACCGGTGGCGATAGACTGGTCCTTGAAACTGCGGATGCTGGAGCTCTTTCCGCCCTTGCGAGACATGTCGTTGGCCCATCGAATCATTTCATTGTCGGTGATTTCACGCTTGCCTAGTCGCTCAGCGAGAGAGGACAGTGTATTGGTGATGTCCTTTCTCATCAGCTGCCAGACTAGGCCGAGAGTGAGGGTGCGTTGGCCATCCGTGATGTCAGCCCCCTGAATGCCCACGAGGGAGAAGCGGTTTTGTTTCCCGATCTCAATTACGTAGTTGGTGTTCTCCACGGCTTTGAACCGCATCAGCTCACCGCCCGACGCGGGAGGCTTGTTAACGTGCCGCCAATTAACGCTGTTCGGGATGACCTTGTCGTAAGCCTGGAGGATAATGGTTCCATCCCTGAGGTCGTTGAAGAGCGAGTTGACGGCTGGCTGGACGTCGAGAGAGTTCAGCCAGAGAGTAAACACACGAGCTTCACGCTCTCCTTCGGCGTCAAAGTCTTCCACCTCGAGCTTGTCCTCTTCCGTAATGGGCTCCAGTCCGGGATGAGTATTGAACAGATTGGCAACGAAGGCAAGGTTAAGCTTAGGGTTTCCGGCCACAAGCGAGGATGGTGTCAGGAACTTGCGGCATTCTAGCAAATCAGCGTTGTCTAAGACCTGTTCGGCACGCTGCAGCAGGTCACGGGTCTCGAGGGGCTTCCGTGAGCAGATATCAGGGGCCAGCTGGTTCAGCAGGATGGTATAGTTCTCTCCATCTTTGACATCAGTAGAGAAGTTTGAAACTCTAGTGTATACGTTAGCTCCCATTGATTGCTCTTCCTTGGACAAGACAGTACTCACGTTCTGTGCCATTTGGCATTCTTAAGGTGATAGTTGAACCAGCGCAACAAGATCTGCTCAGGAGGCAGACGAAGGAACTCGTCCAATGTCTCGTCATCTTCCAGTAATCTGTACAGCTCGGGGTGAAGCTTTATATCAATCTTGCCGAGCAAACCACGACGAATAACCTGCCAGATAAGACCGAGAATAAGATGTTCTCGGACTTCAATGATATCTCCGCTTCCAATATTGACAACCGAACATCCAATGCCCTTTGCTGAGTTGATAACGATGTTATTGTTCTCGGTCATATGAAACGCATTAAGCTGCTTTATTCGTGTGCCTGGTCTGTTCAACACTCGCTCGTCAATGGTATCAGGCACACTGTCGTTGATAAGCTTTGCCAGCACCAAACCATCCTTGCACTTATCGAACATCTCAAAGGTGTCCGTTGGGAAGGGGAGCATGTGGCCGATATCCGGGTCGCCGGCAAGCACGGCGTTGATGTGTCTGGTGAATTCGGTTCTCTCATCTTCGTTGATGGTATGTGTGACGTTCGCAGATGAGCCCTGGACGTGGATCTTTCCGCTGATGCTTCCCTTGGAGGCATGTCCATGGCCGCCGGAGACATGCGACGAGGGTTTGGAGGGAACCGGGGGTGCGGCACTGGCGGGTTGGCCACCGCTTCGCAGTTTTGCTATCAACTGTACACTGTCAGCATCCACTGTATTATTCGAACATATTTCCCCGTAAATAGTCAGTCGGGATGCAGGAGTTCAATGGTCACTGACGTCAACGTAATCCTCGAACTCGACCCGGCGAGAGCTATCCAGCTCGACCTCCTTCAATGTCTGCCGGACGACATCGTACGGCAGTCTCTCTGAGGCCTGGGTCGCTTTGATCGTCTCAGCTTCGTCGAGGTAGCCCTTGTCGTCTACGTCTAGCTTGTGGAAGGCATCTTGGAGGGTAAAGATCTCGCTCTGCTGGAACTGCGGGTATTTCCTGTTATAACTCCCAGTCAGTTATATCTCCGGCCACAACGGCTTGACGGCTTGATCTGAGCACGGCTGACCTTTGGAGCTTTATCACATTCATGGCGCCGTCTTCCTGTCCTGTGTCTCTTTGGCAGCCGGATATTAAGTAGCTGTTTTGGCGTTTGTCGTTATATTATTGTTAAGGGATAACTAGTTAACTAGTGAGTCGGAGGGGTAACTAAAACGGAGCAGCCTGGAGGTTTGCGCTGGGAGGATCGCGGTCGACCACTGGATTATATAGATGCGCAGAAGCGAGCGCCCTTTTTGCACCAGCCACAAAGATACACGACTGCTCAAGGCTCCAGGATTCTTCTTCTTCTGTCTTCTTCCTCTTCGTCCTCCTTTTCCTTTTTGCTAACTTGGTCTTCTTCTTCTTCTTCTTCTTCTTCTTCTTCTGATGCAGCGTCACCTCTGCGCCCACCAAGGCTCCGCCTCCCCGCTAAGCTGATGACTAAGCCGCGTCGGCCTCTCTTCTGTGTTATTCAATGGAAATCAAAGAGTAAATAAATAATAAATGTCCGTCGGGAAGAAGAGCAGCGGAAGAGCACTGGAGAGACGACAGAAAGACGATGGAGAAAGATAAACCGAGAGAGTACGGAGCATCCATTGTAAGATAAAGAGAAGAAACAGCACACACAGAGAACAGGAAGAGAGCGAGAGAGATCCCTATATCACCGAGCGAACCCGCATGATCTCGCCTCAGAAAAGAAGGCCACAGATAATAAAACACCAGTCCATCCATCATTTGCACACATTGAAGAACATCTGCCCGCTTACTTCCCCTTGACCAAGTCCTGAACCAGGTTGAGCGTCTTCTCTGGTCCTCCCGGGGTGCGCAGAAGCACCTTTCCTTCCTTGTTGACGGCAAAGACGCCGCGGACGGTGCCTTTGGGGGTCTTCTTCAGGCCAAAAGCGCCGATGAGCTTGAAGAATGGATCACACAGAAGCGGGTAAGGCAGCTTCTGCTTGGTCTGGAACGTCGTGTTGGCCTTGGGAGAGTCGCCAGAGAGTCCGAAGATCGACAGTCCAGTCGAGGTCAGGTTGGCGTAGTCGTCTCTAAAGGCGCATGCCTGTCTGGTGCCTATATTATTATAAACAAACATTCTGTTAGAAGGAGACCCGTCTCTCTCTCT